TGAGAACTGATTTCTTCCTTAGCACTGGATAGTTGCTGTTTTAAGTCTTTATTCTGCTGTTCCAATCTGCCAACATAGCTCTGTACCATTATTTCTGTTATGGTTGGGGTCTTGACTGGTTCATCTTTCCTTAAATCACAAAAACAAATCTATCCTGTTTCTCATAATTATACCACAATCATTACAATGTGGCAAAGTATTATCATCAAGAGCTTTTTTACACTCAACACAAATATAAACAATGTCATTGTAATCATTATTGCTTGTATTGTAAGATATTATTTTGTAAGTAGCAGTTAAACTCCTTTCTCTTTCAAAGGACAGAAATTACAATACCATTTATCTCCTCTCCTCAGCTTGTTAACTTGGTATTCTAATTTCATACTATTTATTCTTTTGCAAGATATAGGTTTCAAATTTTTCTCAAGTTGTTTCTTTAACTTGGCTAACTTAACTTTGTTCTTTACTTTATTAATTATGAGTTTAAATTTGTTTTCTTTCTTTGGTAAAACTGGTAGTTCTTGAAGCTGCTTGTCTGCCAAATATTTCTGTCACGCCACAATATTTTCTAGAACTTCTATTTTTCTCAAAGCTTTTTCTAAGTTGTCATCTTTTTCTTTATTTTGTCTTATTCTCCACTGTTTAGCTACTTCAAGAACCTCTAAATGACATTCAGATGTTTCCTCCTCTAATTCTAATGCTTCTTCCAACCCCCTTTTCTCTTCTTCTAATGCTTTAATTTTCTTTTCATATTCTTGCTTTTGTTCAGTAAGTTGGTGACCTTTCTCTGTATACCAACCAAGATATTCTAAGCATTTTGAACCTAGTTGATTTGAACTATCAAGAAATCCCTCTAACATTTCTTCAATGGTGATATTGTCAAATCAAATTCTTTTAGAATCCTTAGCTCACTCTTTTGTTTCATTAGGATCTACTGCCATTCTTAACTTTCCTTAATCTAATCATTTCTTATTTAATTTCTTGTATCATCATGTTCCCCTAGGAGCATACATACTATCATCAATAGACTGACCAGCAGATTTTTAATTTAAGTTCTTCCTCTTTCTTGATCTCTATCAGCTAACTGCTTTTCTAAATCAGCAATTTTGTTTTATTTGCTTGTTGTTGTTCATTTATTATGTTTTTCATGATTTACTTGCTTGTTCCTTTTTTTATTTATTTATTTAATATACTTATATCCTTTTTATAAGGGTACATTAATTATATAAATTATTTTATCTTTTTTGCTTTAAAAGTGGAAAAAGCTAACAATATTTGTCAAAAGATTAAACTTATTAAACTTAATGACAGTGAAGGATAAATTAACAAGTGATGAAGTCATCAGAGGTAATTTTATCCTAAATATTTTATTCATTGCCAGTATAGATTAGTCTTGGGCAAGTAATATCTTTAAATTCATCTCTGACAAATGGGCAAATATTATGATAAAGATATTCTGGTCTTTTGTAATCCAAAGGAGGTAGTGTTAAAATAAAGATTTAATCTCTTCAAAAATATCTGCTTTCTTGGTTTTCAATAAATTGAATTCAGCAAAAGGTTCATTAGCAACTTCTTGAACTATTACTGTACCAAGATTAGATGTCTTAAAAAGAAAATGTTGATATTTCTGGATGCTTGGTAATTTCTTAAAATAAATTCCCAAAATAGTTTTAATATCCAAGTATTGAAAACCTTTTCCACCTTCATAACACTGAGCTTTATTCAATCCAGATGGACTATATCTTTTCACCACCTCAATCACATGATCTACACAATCTACTCTTGTTCTCCTATAGTAATAGAGTTTTTTAATCATGCCAAAATTACTGTCACATTTGAATTTGGTATGTTCAGGAATCATGAAATTCAATTCAATACTTTCATAATAGCCACAAATTACCAAATACAAGTAAAACCAAATAGTGGTGTTATTTTTATTCTGTCCTCCAGCATTATCACAAGTAATCTTTAAATGTTTTTCACCTTTATTCAATTTCTTAATTCTATCAAAGATCAAACTAAGAGTTCCATTAGGACCTTTTCATTTTCATCAAGAACGTAATTAATTGGTTCCCTTACTGCTTCATTTTGAATACCAAATAAATGAACTTTGCATGGACTAAGGTAATAAATTTTACTTACTTGTTGATCAGAATGTGGCACATGGACATTTTGGGCTCAATCATAACTATGATGAGCAGTAGCATCAATGCTACAATACTGCAATTTACCTTGAGAATAATAATTTCTTTCTAATTTGGCCTTGGACAAATGTTCTTTAAATCTTTTGAGCAAATCTTTAGCTTCTTCTTCTTGATGAGCATTATAATGCAAACCATCTTTAAAATACTGACAAGTATCACACAGATCAGTCCTTGGACTCATAATTTGAATTTCTGGTGTCAATTGATGTCATAATTTTCTCAAAGAATCATATTTTAAGGATTTCAAATTACTACCTTCTTCCAGACCAACTAGAAAATCTGTGTACTGATTTATAACTCATTTCAGCTGGTAAGAATACAATTGATTGAGTTATCTTATTGTTATTTCTTCCTGGACTTGGTAATCCATGAACTTCTGTGTAATTTTCTAGAAAATTCTTTACTACTACTGCAACATTTTTATCAATCACCATTTAGTTTTCCATTGAGGCATTCTTTTAATATTACCATGAATTCTTTCTAAAAGACCATTGTTTATCAGATGATTTCTAATATTTTCAAAATAAGTCCTGCCAATTCCTAACATATTGAGATAAGTTTCTTGACAAAGGAGTGTATTGTGATCCCAGTGATAGAATGTTCTTTTATTAGATCTGGTTTTCTTTTTAAGGCATCTGCTAGTGCTTACTGACCTTCCATCCATTGCTTTAATCTGGACCATCAAAAATATGTTAGTTGATATATATTACTTTTGTTCTTCTATAATTGAATAATGGATTATTTTTACACAAGCATCAAAAATATTCTAGTTGGCATTAATGGGTAAGTGGTGATAATTATTATGTACTGTTAATAATAATTCTTATTGTATATAGCATTGTATTAATGTTTGTTTAAGTAGATTTATGGTTGAACAATGGATTATTGTTGTGTGACCATCAAAAATACCACAATTGGTATATATTACTAATAATAATTCCCATATATAAATATTGTAAATGGATCTAAATTAAATGACTAATTATTGTTATGCGACCATCAAAGAAAAAAAATTTAACACAGGAACTATAAATCCAAACCTTAAAATGAACACAGAAAACATGCATGAGGAACTATTGAGTAGAAATATAATCTAATAGATTATTTTTTGCTTTGTAAACATAAAGTGGTTATACCTCAAATTAATTATACAAACATGAATGCATTATATGATTCTACTTGTCAATTTTTTTGTATTGCATTACCAGAAAACATAACTGCATTTTCAGTAGTTTATCAGGCAATGAATGAAGCTTGGATTGCAAAGGAAAATTTAAGGCAAATATTCCATCAAGCAATTTTAGTCATTATGCCTTCATATAGAGCAAGCTCAGAAAAATATCAAAAGCTTCAAGGGTTATCTTTAAAGGTTAGTGATTAAAAATTACTCAGTAGAAAAACTTTACATTATATGATAAATAGCGCAAAATATATTCCTGATAACTGGAGTGGAGTTATATCCAAAGCCATACAAGCCCTGGTTTATCATTAATGAATTATTCCACAGACATATGGGGATTTTTGTTGCTTCTAATTTGAGACAAATGTATATTTCATTTAATTTATCATCTATGTACTATGGTTGGCTCGGTCTAAAGACCTCATATTGCTGCACCATGCACTCAAATTTCAAAAATTGCAATTTCGTGATTCGTTAACATTTAGAAAAAGCGCAACAAAATTCATGTAAACAAAGATACTAATTTCAGTAATGATGTTTTATCTAATTTCGCAATGATTTGTCAATTTGTTTGTTTTAAAA